CGTGGTGCCAGTGATGCCAAGAGAGCGTGAGCCCGTTTCTCCATGTAAACCTGGTCTGGTTGGTACCCACCACCCATCCGCCGTTTCCTCTGATGTTTGTAGGTAAACAGAAATACCTCTGTGCCAGCCGGAACGACTGCACCATCGACAAGTTCAGAAGGAAAAACTGCCCGTCCTGCCGCCTGCGGAAGTGCTACGAAGCCGGGATGACTCTTGGAGGTACTGTCTGCGTAACGGCCCTGGGTCCGGGCCACGGGCCGGGCGAGCCGGGCTAGTGCTGCAGATAATGTGTGTACTTGGCATGTCAATGGTCAGGAAATGCCTCAAAAAACGGGGCTGGTGGAGCATAATGAGCTTCGGGAAGTATTTGCAGGTTTCTTATACCAAACCTCTGAATTTGATTAAACTTTTGTTTGAGTTTCTGGAAACATTCTTTTCCTTAATTTAAGGAATTCCTTGTTAATCTGAAAAAATGTAAACGGCTGGGTGGGCTGGGTTCTCACTCGTACCAAAGCCTCTTTGAACAGAGCGCTCCCGTTTAAAGATTGTTTTTCTCAGGCAGAAAGGGGCATTTTTGTTCATGAAATTACAGCCGCAGTATTTTTCTTTGCCGAATGGAAGTTGCTCCTGTCTCACTGCTGAAGATCCTCGTTACAGTTTGTCTCTGCTCCGAAATCTGTAGCTCTACCAAAACCTGACAGGGTGCCTGTATCCAAAATCTGAGGGTTTCTGCTCAAAATCAAGAAGCTACAGCATAGATCACTGGGTGGCTCATCTTTGAGTTCATTTGATGTGAGAGTGAAGAAGAAAATACCCTGAAAAACCGGGCTGATGGACCTGACCCGCAACGAGAAGGCCCTGGCAGCGCAGCGAGGGGGGTCACGGGTGGTGCCAAAAGCAAAGCCCTGGCAGCAGCGGCACACCACAGAGGGAGGTGGGCGAGTCCTGGCTCGATGGAGGTGCCAACATTTCAGTTTGAGTACTGGGATGGGCAGTGCCTCCCAGAGCTGCTGCCCTGCTGCAACGTTGTGTTGAAGAGCTTGCTACCAAAGCGGTTCTGGTGTGTTGCTCACGGAGAAGCAGCGCTTTTCATTGTGCTGCTGCCCAGAACGGTTCGTACAGCTCAGGTTCCGACAGACTCGGCCCGTCGGCGGGGACGGAGCCCACCGGCTCCCCTCTGCGCTGGCAGCCGCGGGTGGTAAATGCGAGCGGTGGGGGCACGGCTCGCGGCGGGACGCAGAGACGTGCCGCTCGCTCCTTGCTCCTGCTACCAGGCAGGACGAACCAACGGCCCAAGAGGTGCCACAGTCCGAAACCTCACGGCACCGACCCCATGCGCGGGCTCTGCCCGCTCCCCGCTCCCACTCCCGCTCCGTCCAGCCGAGCCGTCCCGGAGCCGTGCCTGCCCGCGCGCCTCCTCGCAGGGCTCCTGCGCACCGGCCGTTTCGTGGCCGTTCGTAGCCACAGCTTCCTGGGGAAGCAGGGACCCTCCTCGGGGACCCTTCCCTTGTCTGCCTGGGAGGGTCGGGACCGGGGCGCCGCTGCCGCCCTGCGCGTGGGATTGCGGGGCTCCCAGGCTCGGGGTGAGGAGCCCATCCCAGCTCCCTGGTCCACAGCCAGCAGGAGGGCTTCGACGTGCCATCCAAAACAAGCATGCTCTTCTTTTTAAGTGCTTTTTTCTGGTGAGACTTCCTTTAGTAAGAGAAGACATACATCAGTGTAACCTTCTTCTGCAGGACACACTGACAAAATTAATGCTAATACTGATAGCCCCCCCTCCTTTTTTTTTTTCTGAAGCTCTTTGGGTCACCCTGACCTGTTCTGCCTGGTCTGTTTTACATTTGTTTTGAATGTGGGTTTAAAGGCAATTGTTAAAAACATGCATGCTGTGAGTTTGTCCACAGTTATTTCTCCCACAGTAGAGAGGCAGAGTGTTTGCAAACGCTTCCAAGCTCCAAACAGTTGTTTTTAACTGCCTGTTAATTACCAGTCACTTGTAGGGTATTATAGAGGCGCCTGTGAGCAGCAGCCCTGCAGCTCCGGGGAGGTTTGATGGGAGGAGGAGGTGACACGCTGAATACCCTATTTAGGGCTCTCTGCTTTGGCACAGAACGGCAACATGTCGAAGCACTTCATTATTGATTGAGATCACTCTGACCTGCAAGCTGAAATCCATTAAACAGAATCTTCTCTCCTGATCAACACTGTAAAGCCAGAGAGGGGGAAAGAAAAGAAAAGAAAAAAGAAAGTGAGAATGCTGGTTTGGCGTGCTCGGTTCCGGGGTGCCCTGTCCTGCCTCTCCCATGGCACCGATGCCTGCTGAGCGCAGGTGCCTGCGTGGACCCCGCAGCGCTCTGGGTTCGAGGCACCTCCTGCCCGTTCGCTGCCGGCGCATTTTGGCCGTGGCTGCGGGGGGCCATCGGCGGGGGGGCTGTGG